GCCAACAAACCAAATACTGTAAAGTAGCTGATGAACAATATTACGGAAGCGATTGAAAACATTCCTCCCGAAATCGACCAAAAAGTGATGGAAAATGTAATCCAGAGGTTTACGCGGCTTCTAGAGACGGACATTTGTCTGATATTACTTTTCATACATGATTTCTAAGTTTCAATAAAAGATTAAGATGAAAAGATGGACGTATTTTATTTCATTTCTCAAATATTCGAGATACAAGCCAGTCAGTTACATATCGACCACTCTGTAGTATTTCTCCTCCAAATACTTCCTTGGCAGATAAGTTCGGCTAGGCATGATGCCACACATACTGGGAACAAGTGACGACGACTAAACTAAGAATGTCGTAATCCATCACCACCATCAGCTGCAAATGCAAAACTTAATGTTGGGGTAAATGCAGCTATATCAGAGGATATTAGGTACTGTGCATCGTATCCCAAAACAGATTTCTCACAACAAAGGGGGCATCAAAACTGTATAAAGGATTCGCGAGGTGAAGCCTGCGATTTGTTCTCTGTCAGCGTATCTAAATTGTGACGTGTAGCTCAACTCTGCCATCCGAGGTATTTACGAGTATATTTTGCTGTATTTCTAGTTTGTGAATGTTTCCATGTCTCGACGGTAAAATTTGATATTTGTTTACACCTTCTCGTTTAATAAGAGAGCTATAGTAGTCAGATGTTTCAGCTCTTTTGTTGACCATAATGTTTGAGTTCAATCTCTTTATAAACTGTAACTACGTGAGCTTATTCCATGGTAGGTACCTTCAGTCAGTTTGACTTTTAAGAATAGTTCACTTTTTGGGAAGTGCTTATACTTTTGACACCACATATACAATTTCTAGTCTATCGTACTTTCACTTCTCACAGCCCTTAGATATGAATTGAAGTCGCCAGATACACTCGATTTTTGAATGATTTGATCTTTTGTGCGTTACAATTTCCTTGCGATTATTTGCATTAGGGACGGTTTTGTCGGATGAAATATTTCACAGTGTGCTTTACTTTTCCCACACACACTAATCTTTACTTTGTTTTTTACTCTCTCGGTGTCATCTTCTGGGATAAATTTAACTTCCAAATTGCAACTCAATATAGATTCAAAAAACCACTCAGACTTCAAATTCTACACCACAGCTATCACCTTGATCGTCAGTCGTTCGGAGTCGCTGGATTTAAAGTCGTTAGAGCGAGGATCCGTACTGAGGTAGCGAATCCTGGCGGTATTGTTTGTTTTACACAGTTTCTTAATGTAAAATCTGGCTTTAAGCGCTAGATCGCAAAGGCTGATCCCGGTTTCAGGAATCGGAATTGACATCAACCATCGGAATCGGTTCCGTTGAGATGATCAGAAGCGATTCTTTCAATCATTCTGCCCCATCGTTCCTCTGGGAGGACTCGTTCAGAGCCAACACAACTCTAGATTCAAGATGTCCCACAAAAAGCTAAAGGTTATTGTTAGGTTTTTCAAGTTATGCACATGTTTACAGATCAATCAATATCTATGACGTTGTTACATACAAGTTAGGGATGCGATCTTTGCCAAACAAGCAAGGTTTGCTGTTAAAAGCCCTGCAAGTTGTTACAGCCTGAAGCACACGTTAATAACGCAGTAACTACATATTTAGTTCACTCAGTAGGTATGTCAAATACTCCAAATGAATTTGGTGATCTTTAGCTGTAGTTTTCATTCTGAGTTAAGAAAGAATCACTCAAGATGCAACATTCGTTCACAGAATCAAGATATATCACTGCTTCCAACTTCACTGCTCGTAAAGGCGATTTCTCCCTGAATTCATTAGAACACAACTGTCTGCGTAAGAGTAATTATTTTTTGAAATGGCTTGGTTACAGACGCGTAATACTAAGTGCGAATCGACATATAACTAATATCTCAGCTATAATTAAGGAATCTGCTCTACCACAGAACCTCTCCTCCAAATGTGAGTCATCCATCAGCCTGTAGAAACCACTGGCCTTAGTTAGCTGTCTTGTTTGTGCGTATGAGCTTCTTCCTCATTTCTTTGGCAATTTCTTTTAATGCAGTTTTACGAGCGTCCCTATCTTTATATGTTTTTAACCACTAATTGGGGCTATGTGGCACAAAGATTCGTCTCACTAGCAACATAGTAGGTACTTAGGTTCGGCTTTATTTCTAATAGGATACCTTACAAGGCTAGTCACTCCTGGCTATTCTATTGCCGTATTATTTGTTATTTTATATACATTGATCCATCGTTGTCAACAAGTAAGATGATAGAGGGGAAAAGATGTCACGGAGAACATCAATTAAAAAAATTCTCAAAGCTGATTTTAGCAAAATGGATCTAATCGAAGTGTTGACGAAAAAATGTTGACCATGAGACCTTATGACATATGACATGTACGTCACGAGAAACCTGGTCACTCATTTCCCTCTGTGTGTCTGTCAACCTTTTGGTATGTCTGTCGGTCTGTCCGCAAATTCTTAACGTTTCTGATAAAACTTACGTCCTTTTTATGCACTACATGGAACATTGTAGTAGAACTTGTTTCGAAGGCGGGGAAAATATAGAGTCAATCTACTTGATATTTTTATATAGCAATATAAATAGTGATATAAAAGAGCATTTGTAAAAGGCGACTACTGTCATGTATTAAGGCTAACAATGCGACTAAGGCTAGATAGATAGGTACTAGTTAGATCATTTATTTGCCAGAATATATACATGCCAAAAATTACATTTCAAGAAGTTGAACTAAAGCATCTGCAAATGAATGAAAGAATAGCTTAAAATACGAAACAGTAGGTTTAAAAGGGCATATTATAAACTTACAGAATTTTAATGAACGATGAAGTTTTAAGGCTCTATATGGTGTTTTGGAATTTCCGTCAATAGTAAATGTCATTTTCGGCTATGTTTAAGTCTTATATTTTATTTATGAATTTCTGAATAGATAAAAAACTGTATTTGTTTTATCTGTTGTGTTATCATATTGAAACACTGGGGCCTAAGAAAATAGATGACCATTGTAGACAATTCTCTTCTGGTTTGGGGACATCAATATAATTTTTATTCCTGGTATTGTATTCATGTCTGACAATATCAATCTTACGCTGATTTTTATATTAACAGATCAGTATATTCAACAGATATAGTTGCCTAATACCAAGAATGTTTGAGTCATGGAAAAGCTAAAATGTACTATACTGAGGCGGTTTATTGAATATTCTCTTTAATATTGGTTTTCGGGTTGTCTCCAGCTTTCCTAAATCTGAACTATTAGCCCCACCCCAAGCAATCGTACCATATTCCATAAATCTTTGCGCTAGTGCATAATAAATAGTTAAACATTGGCGTTCTTTTAATAATTTGGCAAGGTGACGTACATTGCATAACATAGTGCGCAGCTTTTTAACTAAAAACGATATCTGCATGTCTCAGCGAAAATGAAAATCAATATGGACTCAAAAAAACTTAGTGTTGATATGCGACTCTATACAAAACTGTATTTGACCTTGCAAAATGTTAAGAGTTTCATAATTAGGCAGATTAAAAGCATAAGAGGAGAAAGCAATGAAGTGAGTCTTATTGAAGTTAATAGAGAATAGTCGAGCGTCAAACCATTCTTTGGTCTTCCTAAAATCTCTCAGTGAGTATTTAAAGGTCAGCCCATATTCCCGCGCTATCCTATACAGCAGTGACATTAAGTATAGCTTACTATGTAACCTTGTATTGCCCGTTTGTATAGATCGGCTAAATATAGATATGTTAAAAAGCACTGGGCCTAGAACCGTACCTTGAGGAATACCATGCGTAACTATTTCATAGTAGCTGTTTATCTCGTTAACTCTGACGCACTGTGTCCTTTCAACTAGATGTTCATCAATTTATAAATGCTTTCTCTGATACCGTTGCTTTCCAACGGCTTACTATGACTGACAGTATCGAAGGCTATATTGAGATCTACAAGAATACAAAGACATGGTGATTTCATATCTATTCCCAGCTATTTTGTTTGTCAGGTAATTGATAGCGTCTTGAGTGGACTTTCCTTCTAAATACCCGTACTGTTTTTCTCATAGAATATTTTTCTTTTCAAAATATTTAACGGGACTCTATTTGAGTATGTTTTCATATATTTTTGCAATTATAGATATCAGCTATATCTGTTACTTATTTCGCTACTATTTTTAACGTATCTGCCCTAATGCCGTCTATTCCTGGTGACATTCTTTTTTTAATGTACATATTACTATCTCAATTTCTTATGCAGTTGTTTCTTCAAGATCAAGACTCAGTTGATATGGTTTTTTAAAAGTTTTTTTGATCTGTTTTTTGGAATACTGTTGGTAAGTTCCTTTCCAATATTTGTACAATATTCCACAAGATGGTTAGCTATGTGTGCTGGTTCACTCAAAGTATCCCCTGTTCTTGTGCTTAATTCATTGATGCTGTTCTACATTGTTGTTTTATACCCTTTTGTAATCAAGTGGGGTTGTTACAGTTGTTTCTTGTTTCGTTTCGAATATATTCTTTTTTGCTGACTCAATCTTCATTTCCAGCTGACGTCTTGTTTGTCTATATTTTTTATATTTTCTTTGGTTGAATAAGATTGAATTATTTTATAAAGTGATTTTGATTGCCAGGTTTAACAATGCGTTTATGTAGCCAATGAGTTTCTTTTCCTATCTTTGTGTTTTATTTTCACAAGATTAGTGCTCGTGTCAATAATACTTTTTAGCCTTTTGATGAAGAGTTCCGAAGCTTTGACCACTGTTCTGCAACTGTACGCATCAAACATTGTCTCATTTGTAGCTAAAGCTTGTTAATATATTTTTGGGTTTTATTCTCTTTCTCTTTTCACTCTCAAATATTATGGATTAATATGTGTAATATGGTGTAGGATCTTTGACAAACATATATGATCCAAGCAAAATTTGCTATCTTTTTTGGACACATGTAAATTCGTTTATGTGAGACTTAAAGCCAAATGTTGCCAGTACTTTTAAATAATTATGTATTTGCAACATCACAATTATCAGACATTATATTAACATTGATATTTCCTACCAGATAATGTATACAGCCATCATCTTTCATAAACCTATTTGCCTCAAACAGAGAACAATTATACACTCGGCCCTTATTTCTGCAGTCCTTGAATGTGGTTTCCATTTTCGTCCAGAACACATGACGGATCAGACGTTTACTGGCGTCGTTATTGCTTAATTTGCACTTTGAACTTTTCAGTTGTTTGCTCTTTTTCTCCACTGAAAGTATGCGATTACCATTTTAGTTACATATCAGTAAGTCTATCTAATTATTCTGTACGATGAAAAATATCCAAAAATTAACTCCATATGTATACATTTATTCCGCAAATGGGAATAACACCCGGTCCTTAATCTACATTTGCCGAAAACGGTATTTTTTGTTTATACGATTTATTAACGTTGCGGGAACTCCACTTGCCCAAATGGCATCATAATTTTTACATTAGCTGGTGGCGTCATAAATGGAGCACACATGGCACCCAGTGACACATTTTTTGTCATTTGCTTGTTATCTGGACAACTCCGCCACCACTGGACCAATTTCCAGAGAGATAAAGCCTTTCGCCCTTGCCAGAATACTAGTAGTACGAGTACTACGAAGATTTCAACAACACCCGAATCTTACCTTCTGATTATAATGAAAGTCCTTTAAACATTGATATTCGCTGGGGGCGAACTGCATAGCGGGGGAAACTAAATGGAAGACCGCGCGTGCGATGGATGGAAAGAAAAATATCGTCGGTCTGATGGTGGGATATAGACGTGGCTTATATCTGTCAAATCATTAGAGGAATGTCAGTTTGACATCAAAATTGGTTATTGCTTTCATATTGCACGTGCCAAGCACAAATATTTCACTAGGTGGCGCTGTCGTCGCGCTCCCAGCGAATAGCAGTGACTCTTTAAACATTATCCTATATTTGTTTCGCTGATACATCTCCGTTTCTCCATATTGATTTTGTCAACAGATTAAATCACATAAATTGATGGAATTACTTTAATATAATATCTTGAAATTTTCCGGGACTACCAAAGTTCCTCCGCCTTCCAACATGGCTTTAGAAAATCCCTGTATCCGAAGATTTCTGCTACAATATATTCAAGGCAATAAATTATTTCGCCACAGACTCTCAAATATGAACTTTTGTCGTTATTGGATATTGAGTGAGTTTTTTTACTATTCTGTTGACTTCCAATAAAGAAGGGTCTGTTCTGTATTTCTTTTTGGGCAGATTTTATCAGTATTGAATTCGCTACTTCAAAGTATGTGGCAGAATGGCAATACCTCTCACACATTAATGTTTATCTATTTTAGAATTGGGAATTCTAAACACATCAAATATGCTTTTGAAGCTATATCCGAATGAGTGATAGATCCACGAAAAAATAAGAATTTCTCCATGTACCTGCTACAAAATGAATGAAATTTATTCAATCTTATAATTCTTATGTCCCATAGTTTTCGTACTTCTTTCAAAAATATAGTATTATGTGCTTGATCAGAACATATCACTTCTCAAATCTTATAAGAATCGGCAAAGCGGTCGCTGAGATTAGATTATCAAAAATAACAGCAATGCAAAGTTTCAACATGAATTTGCTCACGGTCGGTAAAATTACTTCTTTGCCAATACTTCTCTTGCTTATGCGCGTGAATCTAACAGAGATAAAGCATATCATTTTTACAAGGGAAACCCATTGTAAACTGTTACGTCTCGTTGGAGTGCATTATTACATTGGGTGTTGGAACTCTGAGAGCAGCAAGAGTTTCCTATAATAGCATTTGACATAAGAGATACTGAGACAATTACTGCCCACTTTCGTCAAATTCAAATAATTTCGTTGTAGCTATATTTACTTCAAATTGTAACTATAATTATTACTTTATCAGTTTCTATGCCAATTCAATCTTAGTTCTAATGAAAGATGATAGTTTAATTTCTTTATTTTCGAATAAAAGAACATCGTTTAAACAACTTTATTAATGATCATATAGGTCTGATAAATAATGATGTAATCATTCGTCCAGTGATATTTAACTAACATTTCAGTCAAGAGGGCCACTGTGTTTCATAGCTTGATTGTTTTGTGAATCCTTAGTTGGATGCCAATTCTTCTCCCTAGTTCTGGATCAACTGCAATAAACAACTTGAACTGAGTACTTGGTGCTTGTACTATGCTAGCACTTGAGATTTTTAGGATCAGCATTATTCACAGACCTTTAATTCCCGATTTACAGATAGCTAGCAAAAATTATAAAGAGGTACTACGAAGCCACGTTTCATTCACTGTATAAGTATAATTATCCCTTACCATTGGAGAAAACATCTATGGCTCTCTGACGTACGCTGTCTTCGCTCACCAGTTTGATTGTAGCCACTAGATTGTCAACCATTCTTGTTCTAGCACCTGCATCCAACACCTTAGTCCAAAAATGACGGGGTTGACTGAAATTGTCCTCATCACCAAGATCGTAGTAGTCTATGGAACCGTTTACTTCCTGAGGTGGTACCGTCTTTTCCTTGATGTTGATCTAGAAATTACAACCTAGTAGTAGTAAGTGAACTTACTTATCAAATAGTTTTTTTTATGAATTAAAACAGCTAAAGTTTTCGATTTTCCTTTGTCATGTTTTCGGCGACTCTGGCCAACTTCTCTAAAACTAATAATCCACTCACTGGAACTTTATGTCGAACTCGAACTATCCAAACCCTCAAACAGATATGCTAATGACACACATGCCTAACGGGCGGGGTTTGTTCCTATTCCGATTCGCAAATTGGTGACAACTATGATAACTGCCAACATTGATTAAAGTAGGATAAGTTGTCGAAGCTCATGCTGTATTCCAGAGTTCAAGAAATAATCAAGGATAAAATGAGATACCGTAGCGTCATCTAAAGAATGACAAAGTCAGTTTCATATTTCGAGAATCATTTGAGTGTGGACTGACTGATGACGTCACATTACACTAACCGTCATCGCCACCACATTAAAATGCATCTGCCTCCCATGCTTTGCGCCAATAACAAACCTTGTTCTAATCTGTATTTACGAAATATCATCATTGTACTGCTGTGAGTCTCATTTTGATGTAAGTACTCAGTAGTATTCAGTTAATATAGTATGGATAATCAGAATAATTATTCTTAGTATGTATGCATGTAATGACGGATATAAAACCTAGTTGGTGAAACAGTAGCGGGAATAAGTTTGATTACTGTTTTTATTTCATGATAATGTAAATATTGTTATAAGGATCATGTTGTGACTGTAAGGGAAATACTCCTTGGACATGTCGACGTGGGGATGCATACGCGTGGTTCAGGAACTAAAAAGCCTGAAGTTGAAAAAGTTCAATAAAACTGTATAATCGAATAGCATCACGTTCTAAAATAATCAGCTGTATTGAGATGTGGCAAAATGGATTGCGGAGTTGAAAGTGTGTATAATTATTACGATATAGTGTTGCAGGACTTGCCAATTGACGCATGAAACTACACAATAACAATATGATAATTGATATTTTTCCATTATTCATGGTGAAGTAGTGAATTCACAAAGAGTTTGAAAAAAGTTCATTGGAATCCGCTCTATTTGGAATAGTAAGTAGCATGTTCATTTATCACATACCCATTTATGAAATTAAACAACAATACATATATTGTAACTTGAAAACATATAAAGGGCAGTTGACAATTTGTTTGCAAACATGCATATCATATTTGTTATCAGCTACTTCGAACACGTAGAAATGGATTTTTTTGGTAAAATTTGAAGAATCTCTCTAATTCTGGACACATTTTTCAACCTTCGATCCACTGTGGCGTAGGTCGCGTATATACCTTTGGAAGATTAGTGAAATCGGCCCGCAAAATACCTTCTTCCATTTTATTTATTATATATCTATAATATTGTACAGTAGGCTATGCCGATATACGAGTCGGTTTGAGCGCTAAAGATGAATATGATACAAGGGCCGTCGCGTCGTCTGGCCGCGTCAGTGCCATAGTGCTGAAGCTAAACTTGTGTAATGTGTCGTGACGGCCGATCCTTGACGCACGAGGTAGATCGGCTACAGCACCCATCACCGGATATGTCATAACTTGCTTTAATAGTTATCAGAATTATTCTTTGAGATTTGTCAAAGATACAAATTATACTATGATACGCAAGTGAAACTAGCAGCATTTTCGACTTTAGGACACTTCCTTATTACCACAGCGTTCGGCATGAGCCGTGAGCTTTTTAACCTTTATGCAGTGCTAAATGTCGCCATATTTATTCCTTTAATTCGCATTAATGTCTTAAAGAATTACCTGAGCATCTGGACCTCCAAAACTATTGGGATGATAGTTAGGAGCACTACCTTGGTTTTGTATGACACATTGACCATCACGTTCAAAATTGGCAACCCTGTTCATTGGTCGATTCACTGGTAGTTGTTCATAGTTCGGTCCAATACGATAGTACTGGGTGTCTCGGTAGGCAAAAAGCCGACCCTAAAAATTATAAAATAAAATAATCGTATCAAAAATCGTTTTAATTACTCATTGTAAGAGAATAATGTAGACCTGAAAATCAGCTCGTGCTTAAATTGAAACATTTTCTTCTAGCTTTAGCTATTGTGAGCTGTGGGTAACGTCAAAAATTGGCTGCCGTGTGATAAGTTTAAGTTTTTATTAGGACCGATTTTTTCGACATTATGCACTTAGAACATCGAAACGAAATGTTTTCTTTTCAACCTTACCTGCAGCAAACGATCTGGAGAAGCTCCAACTCCAGGCACCATGTTGGAAGGATTAAGGGCTAGTTGTTCAATATCAGAAAAATAGTTTGCTGGATTTCGATTTAGTACGAGTTTTCCTACAGGTTGTAACGGGAATTTGCTGTGGGGCCAAACCTGCAATTGAAAGTACTCATGCATAGAAATCCTCGCAGTCCCCAGTTCATTATAAAGGAAGGATTATAAACATGGATGTATCATTGTAAAAGAAGGTATTTAAATTGTAGTGATAATAAATAACCCATAGTTGATGGGTTTTTAACCTCTTTTAACCAAAATATAGTGAGTTTTATCGATTCTGACCATGGTCTCATAACTTTTAACCACCGTTATATTTTCTGTGAGAGTAAGCTGTCGAATCGAGTATAATACCAGCAGGGGGAAAGTACCGGAATGATTGACAGATTGAGAGCTCTTTCTTGATTCGGTGGGTGGTGGTGCATGGCCGTTCTTAGTTGGTGGAGCGATTTGTCTGGTTAATTCCGATAACGAACGAAACTCTAGCCTGCCAGCTAGACGTATTTCGACATCCCAAAGGCCCGCCGGTTCGGGTTTACGCCCTTGCCGCGCGCGGTTTTTACTGTCGGCGTGCAAACAATTCTTCTTAGAGGGACAGGCGGCTTCTAGCCGCACGAGATTGAGCAATAACAGGTCTGTGATGCCCTTAGATGTTCTGGGCCGCACGCGCGCTACAGTGAAGGAATCAGCGTGTCCTCCCTGGCCGAGTGGCCCAGGTAACCCGCTGAACCTCCTTCGTGCTAGGGATTGGGGCTTGCAATTATTCCCCATGAACGAGGAATTCCCTGTAAGCGCGAGTCATAAGCTCGCGTTGATTACGTCCCTGCCCTTTTTACAAACCGCCCGTCGCTACTACCGATTGAACTTCAACATATGAGAACGAAATTCAGAAATTCCATACACAGAGTGTTGTCTTCGAATACAGCGGTTTTGTTAAATTTTAATAAACCCGGACCGGTTTTTCTTTTCCCGTTTGTGCTATAGTTGACCCGGTATTATATGCTGCATATGTATGCCAAGTTTAAAAAAAAACCGGTGGTTAAAACAATCTGAGATCGTTACTCCTGCTTAAAGATCAATCAATCATAGGTTATTTATGATCACCTTAGTGGTCTCTATCCCTAGCTAAAGATATCACCTTCTCCCAATTGAACACCCTACACAGGGTGTTTCAGTTTATTGTTGCATAACTTTAAGATTCGATAAAACTTTTAAAATTAATGCATAAAGTCTATATAAACATGGGTCGAAAAATGCGTGGCTTCCGAAATACAGGGTGCTTAAATTTACTTTCTAAAATAGTTTTTTTTAAATATTTTGAACAATATTTGATGTATAACAGTGAAAATTGGTATACAAGTTTTTTGGTACGACAAAACGAACCATGGGCATAGTTTTACTGTAGCCGCTAGAGGGCGCTCTCTAGTGTACCTGTAGTGTATTAAAATGGCCGAAAATTTTTCTTAGTGCAATTTTTTGCTTTTTGAATAAAAAAACTGATTCTTTGCACTTTTCAACATAAAAAAGCTCTCCTGTGAGTTTTCGTTATAGTTAGCCGTTTTTGAGATATTTCGATTTTTAGGGTTCGATGCATTTTTAATGTATGGGAAAATAATATTTTTTTTTTAAATTTTCGATTTGGGCATTACAAGTAATTAAGATGATCGTTTAGATTGTGCTTTTAAACACAGCAATAATTCCTAACTCAAATAAACACAAAAAAACAGAATATTAATTTGTTTAATTTTCCAATATTATTTCTAACAAATTAAATTCATTATTTACAACTAAAATGCTATTGGATAGTTAGGACAAACATACAAAATCTAAAGTAGTTGCTCGAAATGTAAACCCAATTGTTCAATACACAATTCACATCTACGAATGATCGAACGTGGTATAGCATTATTCAAATAAGGCCTTATTTCATCACATGCATTCCTGAGTCTGTCTATTAGCATATCTCTTGTGGTTACGAGAGTCTGGTACACTTTTTATTTTAGAAATCCCCACACAAAAAAATCTAATGGATTTAGGTCAGGGGATCGTGGAGGACAGGCTACTGGTCCTCCACGGCCGATCCATCTTTATGGATAATTTTTGTCTAGCCAGTTTCTAACTGTTCTCGAATAATGAGCTGGACAACCATCAAGCTGGAACCAGACCCATCTTCTTAAATCTAACATAACATCATCCCACATATTTGCATGTTCAGCCTTGCAGGCAAAAGGTAGGGTCCAAATAGTCGATTACGGTAGACACCAATCCACACGTTTACACTAAATTCATGCTGAAAATTTCTTTCCCGAACTGCACGCGGATTTTCATGCGACCAAATATGTTGATTATGAAAATTTACCACTCGACGTCTAGTGAAGCATGACTCATCGTTCCATAAAACGTTACTTAAAAACTTCCTATTATTATCAGTTCTATCAAGAATCCACTGACAAAATGTGATTCTTCGTACAGGTACAGTAGAGAGCGCCCTCTAGCGGCTACAGTAAAACTATGCCCATGGTTCGTTTTGTCGTACCAAAAAACCCTTGTATACCAATTTCCACTGTTATACGTCAAATATTGTTCGAAATATTTTAAAAAAACTATTTTAGAAAGTAAATTTAAACACCCTGTATTTCGGAAGCCGCGCATTTTTCGACTCATGTTTATATAGACTTTGTGCATTAATTTTAAAAGTTCTATCGAATCTTAAAGTTATGCAACAATAAACTGAAACACCCTGTATATACGGAATCTAAAATAATGCATGCAATTGTCATCCTGTTTCTATTAGGATACTAACTGGCATACTGCTTCGACAATTTACTAGACGGTAGCTTCGTTTAGTCTACGTAAAACCGCTATAATTCTCAGATCCTTCTCATAGTTATGTGTTTAGTTCCATCTCAACGTACCTTTGTTATGTCGAATGGATTGAACTTCTGTTGTTTTGCTTCTTCTGGTGTCATCGTCTGTATATAAAATGTCCATGATGGATAGTTTCCATTTTTCTTGGCGTCCTCTATCGAGTCAAACAAATCTCTAACTGCATAGTCAGGATCTACTCCAGCAATCTGTGTCGCCTTCTCTGGATCCAGATTCTTGATACCTATGTTTGAAAAACACCTTGGGGTACCAGATATTACCAAGAGATACTAGCACATTGTCGAATTGCCACACGCTCAGGACAAAAATGCAATATAGACAGAATTATCAGTGACTGAAATTTGTACTTGCATATATTTGGCGCCTACGGTAATGGTCTGTTTTTATCCTCATGCAAACATGCGCAAGTCTGCATGTCAATATGCTCAAATGTAACTGAATTGCTGTAACCGTTTTAACGTTCAGTCGAAGATGCACAAATAAGATCAGTACAGTTTAGATACGAGTACCGAGTGTGTGAACAAAACCTTAATGATAAACCGAAATGGCCCATTATTAGCAATAGCTGGTGTATGTTTAAATAGAAAGTTTAAATCTTCATTAAAGAAAAGATCAAGAAGAAAGATAAATACGCTTGTACAAGCCAATCTGCACAAACTACTTAAGCGCGAAAACGTGCCTGAGACCATCCTTACTAGAGCTAAAGCTGATCATACACGTTAACGTTTTTGGGAAGTCAGCCTTCTGCTACATTTTATTAATGTGTGTGGTCAGCTTAACCCACGGTAGGGGCCATCACATCGTAGGGCATAATGCTGTTTTTATCTTACCGCCATCTGTCTTCCATACGAATTTAACCCATGTCAGCTTCCGATTTGGACCAATCAAAGAAAATGTGTGGGAGCTATAACCATGCATGTGTCGATGTCCGTCTGGAATGCCACGATCACTAAAGAGAAACATCACCTGATGGACTGACTCTGGTCGGCTAAAAATAAACGTAGTATCGATGTCTATCCTTCTGGTTACAAATAATTTCAAGCTAACTTTTTTGTTGCAAGCTATCTGAACTAAATGCTAGCCAAATAGTACATTGTAAACATAAGTCGAGAAGTGAGCCATTATTGGACGAGCACTTTTATATCCTGCGACGTAAGGTACCCAAAAATATACTGTGCAAGATCGATAACAGCTAACCGTTCGAAAAGGCAGGCAATCTGTTGTACGAAAAGACGTCTCATTCTGGACAAAGGGATTTCTTGGTGGAATCATATCGAAGCATTGAAAACTAAATTCCAAATTACGTTTTGATAGCTTTACCCACAATTATGTAAACGTTCGAAATCAAGTTTGATTAACAAGATAACGGCTGTATAAGGTGGTCATAAGACCAGCAAATGACTTACAGTCTAGCATGCTTTAAAACATTTAGTCATGGGCGCCCGCGGCGGTTTTAACTATAATATTAGGATAGATTCGCCTCTTCTTATAGAAAAACTTCTGCAGGCGCCCATCCATCTAATAGCCTCATCGTAGACTAACAAACTTAAATGATCACAATGCGAAAACCTGCGGACTGGTCCATTTCAATTTCAGAGGGGAGTAAAGTGCTAACGTTTAATGTTCGTTATACTCAATAAAACAATTGTAGTCACCATTATTGGCGGTTACGTCATCAACGCCATATGAAATAAGTAAGCAGATCAAGTCTCCATACCATGGGCGGATCTTAATTTTCCTAACTGAGAGAAACCTATTCAAAATTATTTACTAGTGTAATTTTCAAAAATCTTCTAATCTAGTACATAAATATGGGTTAAGCATGACACGCCATTTGATGTTTTTGAAAGTTGAAATAGGAAATAAATACGGAATTTACAATATAGTACAACATAACACAGCTATTTGCTATCTTGGTGGAATATTTAAGATTGGATGTGGATATGTGACAAGCTTATGAGATCTTTAGAAGAACCGTCTTCAATAAAAAAGATGCTAAATTCTTCCTGGAGTAAAATGCGACTAAATAAATTACTGCTAGACAAAAAAATGCATCTTGATGATGATGCTCTGAAACTCGAGCTTTTAAATCTATGTCGGCTTAACAAACATCAAGCTTGTAACTTCCATATCTATCAAAATATTTAACAATTTACATTAAGGTGCACACATAGAAAATTAAGAATCATAAATTTCCAAAGTTGTTCCAATAAAAATGTTAATTATTGGATTTCTTCATCAGAGTCATCTGAACTTTCTCCCAAGTGAATGATTATATTAGTCTCCTCCCTATTAAACACTTGATGCTTGTCCCAGTCGTTTTTAGTCAAGTTCTCGGTATGTTTCACACACTTGGCCCAAACTGTAGGAGTCACCATCGTCCCAAACCTCCAAAACTTCCTTGTCACCATAGTCATTCTCAATATGACGGTCATAGTACTGTTTGGCTATTCTCCAGACTAACTCAATAGGGTTGTATTGACAATGGTAAGGGGGAGCCGCAACACTGAAAGTCCATGTTCATGTAATATTTCGTCTATGATATATCTTGGAGCCGATGGTTTATTAAGGTGACATAGATTTAGAAGCTCGAGCTTAAAAGCGTTATCATCAAAATGTATATTTTTGTCTTGCAGCCATTGCTTCAATTGCATTTTACTCTAACTGGAATTGAGCATTTTTTCTGTTAAGGCACTATGATAAGAGGCATTATCCCTGATTACTAAAGATGTCTCTTGTAACGCAGATATCAGCTTCTCACGTATCCATTTTTTGGAAGAATTTTTGTGCTTGGAATCGTGGCAGCCAGCACTTTTTGATTTTGTAACAAATAACAATGCAATATCTCTAAAAAACCGGTATTGATCCCAGCATAAAGAACAATATCCCGCTTGCCGGTACCCTGATGGGATAAAACATCGAACACCCCTTTTAGAAAAATTTCCAAAATACGTCAAATTCCATCAAAGAATTAAGATTCTGGAAGTATAAAGTACTTATCATGAACCTCAAACCCCTTTTACAGAAATGTTTCAAAATGGCGCCCAGCAGCTTGCTAAATTGACCCACTCAAAAAATAAGCAGAGCGGGACCGTTTTGAAAAGCACTGTATAAAAATGTTCAATTCGAGGCTATAAATACTGCTTTTAGAAGGGTTAGGGATATGGAATAAGCACTTTGTTCAGTAGTGTTACCTGGAGAGATAGTCCCAAAACATGTTCCAATCTCTCATGTTAGTCTGGGGGTTACGCTTCTGAGAATGTATGAACATCGGAAAGAGAATGGGATCCCTCATGAAGAAGATTGGAGTGTTATTGCCAACCAGATCCCAATTCCCTTCTTCCGTATAAAACTTGATAGCAAATCCCCTGGGATCTCTAACTGTGTCAGGACTACCTAAATCTGAAGCCACCTAAAACAGAAGTATTGAAGTTCTTCATTTTATCTTCAGTACAACTAAAAAATATTATCGGTACTGACCTGCGAAAATCTCACAACAACTGGTGTCTTTTTGCCAATTGATTCAAATACCTTGGCAACAGATAGTTTTGTGATATCATGAGTTACCTAAAATCAAAGATTGCAACACTATAAGAAATTACTGGTGTATAGTTTATGAACAGGGGATTCTTAGCCATTGTAGATTAATAAGATTTGCACATTTTTTTTTATTTCCTACGCCTACTGCCGAGGAAGTTCTGTAATCACAATAAATTAGGTCACTCATTTCCGCCGGTCTGTCTGTCTTTGTCGGTCTGTCCGCTTGTCATTGGCTCCTCTACAAATTATAAAATACTACTCGCATTTAGACGAAATTTTCATGCGAGGTTACTGATACGCCAAGGATGTAAAACCTTGCATAAACTTCGTTTTTTGACATTTCATAGGCTTGGAATCATCTCTAGAAATATTTTTGTAGCGATAAAAATTATCTATAATATAAATTAAATATAATAGAGCGGCAAACCACTTCAAAAGTTATTCATTGAGATGTTAAGGATTAAATTTGTTATGATGGAGAAGTACACAAGAACTTTTACTCAGCAATATAAGACAGTATGTACAGAGATCATCATAATTAACAGGAACTCATAAGAAAAGTAAACTCAGGGAATATACAAGAATAATAAGATGTTTACTGAATATACGAGGGTAATACCATAATTTATATGTATTTGTACGCTCTCGACCCGGGTAAATCTACACACCTATTAGACATATTTCATATCATAGATTTCTCCGTACATGTACACTTGAAACTTGATATGATAGACAATCGTTTGGGTTCACCGGCGGACATGCCAGCTTCGACAAGTGTGCCACCATAATTGGCGCGGTGCCGCGTTGTCGCTTCTGGTGTGACCTGTGGTTAGGTATGTGAAAGGAACCACGTTGCCAGATAGACAGTACTACCGGCATGGCAGAAAGAGAGTGTCGATTGTCTAATTATATGGACCTGTTTGACTGACTTGATCCGGCTAATATTTCTGTTATATATGTTCGCAGCTAACTTTACTCTCATAGGGTCTAACTACTGCCGATCATAATCTTTCATGAACCAATGATGGCGTTGCGTTTTTTCTTTTGTAAAACATGTTATTTTGGAAAATTGCCTTACCTGAAAATATCCAAAAGCTCCGGCTCCCTTAGCATGGACGACTCTCTCAGGTGCCCTTTCTCTATTGAAGTGCTGAAGTGTCTCCGTGAGAAAATGGTCAGTGAGCACAATGGGTCCATATCTGTGGATAATTGAATAATTTAAGCTTATTCACAGTGTCCCTCGAAGGACTCCAACGGCCGATTACTCGAAACGACATTTACGAGAGATTGGGGTTTTGATGAAATTGAAGAAATCCGTTAGGCTGAAATATTTTCAAAATAGTGGCACTGTCGGCAATACCTTGCTTATTACTTCAAAAACGGTTAGACATACGAGATCTATGATGTGAGTGATAAGATTGGCAACTTAGCGTTCAATCGCTTCAGTACAAGTTTGAACTCGCTCGAGTTATTTGGGTGTGTCCGTAGCGATTTTCTTTGTGAAGCAGTTTTTTTCTGTTGTGTTCTAAAGAATTCAATTTCAAGCAACGGTGTGTTATCTGGTTTTGCTTCAGACTGGGGCACCCAGCAACGGAAACTCTTGCTAGAGGCAGGGAGTCGACTGGAAATGAATCACGAAGCTGAAAGCCTTCATGTTCAAGAACCGATGAAAATATTGACAGAATCCGAGATCCTGTCATATCCTTGGTTTACAGTCATATTTTACTCACGCCACCGTTCATCAGATCAAGAGCAACTGAGTGTTGAATCAAGACAATGCTCTTTATCACACAGCAATGTCAGTAAACCGGTTTTTGACCAGTAAAAACATTCCTGTGGCTCCTCGGCCTCATTATTCGCCTTACTTGAGTCCTTGTGGCCTTTTTTCCTCCCGAAGTTGAAAAGTCACCTTGAGGAAACTCATTTTGGGATAGTCGAAAATATTCAAACGGCTGTAACCGACCAGATGAAGCTGAAGGCTATTCCAGTATCGGAGTTCCAACACGGCTATGAGGAGCTTTAGAATGAAGTTATTTTGAGGGTCGTAATATAAAAATTTTAGGTACATGTGAATAAATTAAAAAAAGACTCAGTCTCATCACTTAATTGACAGACCTCGTAGATATAAATGAACATGAAAGTGGTTTGATAATCAGCGTTGAGCACAAGATTTTGTGGTATACTCGTACAAGGCGTCTCATTTTTAATAAGCAAGTTCGCATCTACTTGCGTTACAACTTTGATATTTTAAGCAAATTATGTAACGGCTCCTTTCCAAGTAGTTGCTGAAGTTATCCGTGGGACACCCTGTATGTTTAGCTGCATGGTTTTTGTTAGTTTATTTAAAGTATAAAATTAATTTTGGTATTTACCGTTTTGAACTGTCATATAAATTCGCTAAATTTATTTTACGTACATGCATGCCATAGCCTGAGAATGTGGATCGGGTACATTTGGTATGGGTGTTCCAGATCTAACACAGTTCTCGCTGCCTTATGAGTGTCAGGTGAAAAAAAGATTAAAAAAATACTGAAGTAGAATAGAGACATATTTCGACGTAACTTAAACTGTTTTGATGACGAGCAACTTCGTACAAGATGAAGGACCAGGTAGCAAAATGGACCAAAGACCGATTGAGAAGATCCTCATAACTAGGCCTACCGGAAAGTACTGTCCTGTTTTAGGTTATAGCTTTATTATTCATACCTTGCATAAGTTTTATCGAACAATACGATTTTCATCCATATCTATGACCTGTTCGTCCAGAGATTCACTTTTAGTAAAACGTTATACCGAGAAAAATTGATCCAGCATTTACGGATATAGTTTTGGTTTTTGCATTTTTTACCGAACAGAAAATACTTTTGTAATGAGAATAGGTGTTACTCGGAGGATAGAGGTCTGGAGAGTATGAGGAATGTGGCCTGATATTGTCCTACAGTAACCTATTATTTTTCCTACTGAACATCGCCTCCCTTTCTACGTTGAACCATATATACATCAGGTTTCCCAGTTCAGACATACTCTGCTCCTTAAAGCATTTTACGTCTAGCTTGACCGAAAAGTTAAAAAGTGACTGAACCTAACCTGTATAATTTGTGCCATTATTGTATATCATTCTATTGTAGTTCAATCGCTCCTATCGTCCGATTATTTACATCTCATAGCTTGTATTTCTGTCTATACTTTCGCTGAATCAAATATGATCCGGACTTTTCTGTTTAACGCACCATAATGCGAATAGAGTGGGTCGACATCTTGGTATAATTATGTTGGGTGAGGATGTCAGGAAGAGGGGAGTCGGTCGGCTTGGCTCGCCGAAGTAGATGAGCTGTTAGTAGCATCATGTCTCAGCAAAAGTTGCGCACGTCTGTTGGGCAATGCATTATAATAAAATTGTTGTCGCAAGAGGGCGTACATCCTTCCGAAATTGCGTTGATTAACAGCACAGTTCGACGAAAAGGTGATTTCAAGGACACAAGTATACGACTGGCAAAAAAATTGCATGGAGTTGCGAAAGCCTGACCAGGCAGCACCGCGAAAAGCCTGATCAGTCTTTCTACAGGAAAAATTCTTGCAACGGTATTTTGGGATTCCAGATGAGTACTGCTAGTTGATTTTCTTCACGATTGCCGTACAGTTAATGCTGCTTACTACTGCCAACTGCTTATTGGCGAAAAAGACGAGACATGCCTATTCTGCTCCATGACAATGCTCGGTCACGTACAGCTGCATTAACCCGTGAAAAATTACGCGAAATTCATTGGGAAACATCCTCCTTACAGTCCCGATTTGTAGTCATGTGGCTATCAGAAGTTTGGGTCACTTAAACAGGTCCTGGGAGGTCACCACTTTGACAACAACGAAGGTGTGGAAACGTTCGTGCACAATTTGCTACTCGCACGACCAGCTTCATTCTTTGATGGGGAAATTAAAAAACTTCCGATCCGATGGAAAAAATCATCAATAAGAGAGAATATTACGTAGAAAAATAAGCTGTAAATAAACTGGTATTTACTATACCAATAAAATTACTAAAACAAAAGTCCGGTTCATATTTGATTGACCTTCGTATATACAGTGCTTTTCAAAAAGGTCCCTCCTACATATTCTTTGAAATAGTTCAATTAGGAAGCACAATTTCGAAGTAATTAGACTTATGAATTAAAACTGTTTTAGCGTAAAATCGGAACATTTCACGATGGCGGCTGGGTGCCATTTTGGAACTTTTTTTTGGATAGAATGACTCAAGCACCTCATGAGCACCTTCTGACTCTGGGATGCAAAATCATCAACACTCGAAATGGCGAACTGGCAGTCAGTCAAAGTTGAGCGTTCTTGTACATTATAGCCATGTTCGTACAGTTGTCACCATCCTGTCACAGATCGTGCCCAAGATCCCGCTACACATATTCCGTACATTTTACTAATATGGAACTGGAACTGATTGAAGAAATGCCAAAATCTGTCACTTTTTTTAATGGAATGTCGCATGATTAATTACACATTCAGATAGCTCCTCTCAAAAAAAAAAAATAATGATATAACTAATAAAAAAAAACTATAATATACTAAGCTTCAGGCAGGGAGGTGGATTAGTGTGAGCTCAGAGTATACCATTAATCTGCTGTAAATACTTCTATGATTATTACTATCATTACTGTCCATCCTGTATCCTTAGTCGACCGAAGAATGTTTTGATTTACTGCGTGCAACCAGAAATACGCATTCTGTCATTCAAATTCATATCACTTAACTCATATGGAGAGATTTTTTTATCGATCTTTCTACATCGAGCATAGATGAATTATTTACGAAATCTAATATTGATGAGAAGGTAATGCACATTACAAGCGTTATCGTGGAAACCTATAATAAACATGCACCTTTTAAAACTGTAAGAGTTAATAAGCCACCATCACCTTGGTTAACAAATGAACTGCGCACTGTTCTTGATGAAAAGAATACTGCACAAGCTTTATATAAAACTAATAAGACCGTGGACGCCTATAATAACTTCAAATCGCTTAGAAACCGTGCTCTTAACATGATCAGTAGGGACAAAAAGACATATATCGAAAATTTGGCAAATGAAAATGATTCAAAAAAATTGTGGAAGTCTCTCAAACAACTTGATATAAATTTTCGTAGTAAACCAACCCTTCCGGCAAATTTTCATGACCCTACCAAAATTAATGATTATTTTGTCTGTTTATAGCCGTAAACCTGTTGATTCACTACTTCGCGAAAACTATTTCAAAAATAAATTAAGCTCTGAATATATTTCTTCATTGAATAAGATTAGTTCAAATGACGTATTACAGGGAGCCTAAAATCTGATGCGAAGGTAATTGATGGTATATCGCTGTCAATGATCCAGCTTTGCCTGCCACTTATTCTCCATCACATCGTCCACATCTTTAACGACTGTTTGGAAAAAGGCTACTTTCCAAACACATGGAAACAAGCTCTAATAATTCCAATTCCTAAAAAAATGAAACCCACTGAGTATAATGATCTCAGACCTATCAGTTTATTACCAATTTTATCCAAAATTTTAGAAAAAATTATAAAGTTCCAGTTGACCGGTTACCTAGAAAAATTATTTATGCTTCCCGACACTCAACCCGGTTTTAGAAAAAATTATAGTACAACATCTGCCCTACTTAACCTGCAAGGGAATATTTTAAGTGCCTTAAAGATAATGTCAATAATACTACTAAAATTTTACAAAACGATGTTAATAAATTATTAAAATACTATTTAGATCACAATCTACTTATTAATCTACAAAAATCTAAATTGTTAGTATTTTGCGCACAAAGAAAAACATACAATGTAACACAGCTCTTGAATATTCAGATAAATTACCAAATTTTGCAATTTTCCGATTCTGCAAAAATTCTTGGTGTTGTTTTTGATACAAAATTAAGGTTTATTGAACATGTAAAAAGTCTATCTCAGAAAACCTACCTACGGCTGCGCACTCTTATAGCAAACAGGTATTTACTACATTTTAAGTTGCGTAAAAAACTATATGAAGCATTGGTCATATCCATACTAAATTATTGTAATATCGTATACTATACTTGTTTAGACAATTTCACTAAAAACGTTATTCAAGTTATTCAAAACAATTGTATACGATTAATTTTTGGTTTACGTAAATTTTATCATGTATCAGCGAAAGATCCCGTTCTAAACTGGTTAAAAATTAATGACATGGTCAAGTATCACTATTCAGTTTTTGTTCACAAATTGCTGCTCATGTCTAAACCTTATTACTTGAAGGAAAAAATTTCATTTAATAATGATGTTCACTGTAGAACTCTCAGAGAAAATAATATTAGAATACCCCTGCATACGTCTACACTGTTTAAACGCAGTTTTTCTTACAATGTTGCTATTATTTATAATGACCTTCCTAAAGTATATAAAGAATTTTCACTACCTATCTTTCGACAAATAGTTAAAACATTATTACTCAACCCTCCAAACATATAATGTAGGTAATCATTCATTTCTTTTTTATTCCATCTTTAATTCAGATTAATAATTTTTTGGTGCATTTGGGTTTGGAAAGTATGCCTTTTTCTCTTTTTTTAAATTTTACTGTCGATGTAATGAACCAAATATGTTTGTGGATAGTGTATTCTTTTGAACATCTGCATCTACAATGTAATTGTGAATAAATAAAGACGTCTATTATTATTATTATATATCCTCCTTATGCCCAAATTTAGTTGATTCCAGTGAATGGAGTCTCTTTGATGTTGTCAAAAAAGAATTTTGTTTTTTCAATATCGCCGTTGATCAAAGAAGGTCGGTTGTTAGAAATTACTCGATTAAAATTTTTCGACAATGTTGTTTTAAAAAATTCATCTTCACTATTTTTAACAGGCTCCATATCATTTTTTTTTCGTGAAGTTTGTACATAATAAAGTAACGTAGATGGACCTCATCAGTAGCGGTGGATACAATATCGATTCTCCCTTAATTTTAACACGTATCGTTTTCGTGATAGTTTATTTTCAAGACCACTCTCAGTGGTAGAACAAGTGAGTCAGATATTCGTCACGTAACAAGCGTACCTGTCGGTTGATACCGGAACGCACAGAATTTTTCGATACACCTAAAATAATATACAGGGTGACTTTGAAGTTGAGTCATTAATTTTCAGATAATGATTGTAGAAGGAAGATAAACCAAAATATGTGTGTAAAAATAAAAAAAAAATAAAAAAAAATGTTACCTTGTTTTATAAAGTATCCTCCCGACAAGTATTTCAGTGCGGACCTGTGCGCCCAAAAGCATGTCACAAAAACTGTTCGAAATGATTTCCGTTTTGCTCGACGCACAGCTGGGCGCGTCTTAGCCATGTCTCTTTACAAGCACGCAATAAAATCACTGGTTGATTTCTGATCACTGTACTCATTTCCTCAATTCGAGCACGTAATTCTTCGCGTGTATTAACCGGTGTTTTATACACTAGAGTTTTTAGCCAACCCCAAAAACAAAAGTCTAAAGGATTTAAGTCCGGAGACCTTGGCGGCCAAGGTACAAAACCGCCACGGCCGATCCAACGATTATTAAATTGTCTATTTAAAAATTCACGCACATTTCTTGCATAATGGGATGGTGCCCCATCTTGTAAAAACCACATGTTTTGTCTAATATTTAAAGGCACATCTTCCAGTAAACCAGGCAAATTGTGTTGCAAGAAATCAAAATAATTTTCACCAGTTAAGCGATTTGGTAATTCAAAAGGCCCCACTAAAATTCCATTAACAATTCCCGCCCACAGGTTGATTGGTTCAAATCGCTGTTGAAAATTGGTTTCCCTTATTTCATGGGGATTTTCAATAGCCCAAACGTGAGAATTACGTGAATTAATAATTCCGTTTCTAGTAAAGAGGGCTTCATCACTCACTAAAATTTGATTTAAAAAATTGTCATCATTTTGATGTTTATTTAAAAGCCAATTGCAAAAGTCAACCCTTTGTTCATGATCTTCCGGTTGTAAGGCCTGCACTTTTTGTATGTGAAACGGATAGAACTGATTTTCACGTAGAGTTTTCCAAGTTTTATATTGACTAATCGCCAATTGAGTTGAAATTTGTCGGGTGCTTACTGTTGGATCATCACTTACTAATTCTAAAATTTGTTCTTCTAGTTCTATTTGATCGTGTGGTCTTGGAGCACCGGCATGATCTCCTCTGTGAGGTCTTAAGTCACCTGATTCACGAGCTCTTTGCACTACATTAACAAAGGCACGAGGGGTTGGTTGCACTCGATTGGGAAACCGATCCGCATAGATCCGTGATGCCTCGGCAGCATTTTGTAAAGACTCCCCGTAAATAAGAACCATGTCCACAAGTTCAGCATTTTCGTAAACATGTGCCATTTTTGATTTGAGCCTCGCAACAGACACGACAATTCACTTACGCGTTACCGACTACCGACTGATACTGACTGTATACAACTGAAGAAACTAATTGTAAAAATATCGTTCCAAATTCTTTCGCTTTTTTGTTTCCGATGCGATGAACGGATAAGGCGGATTATATCTGTTGTTGCCAAACACGAGAACATAATATCATTATTGAGACAGGGCGGTACTCAAACTTCCAAAGGGCTATAACTTTGTTACTTTAATTTTACCAGAAAAATGGTAAAGGAAAAAAACATTTCTTTTGATCAGATCTACTCACTGTTAAAATAAATGACTCAACTTCGAAGTCACCCTGTATATTTATATTTAGCATAAATGGGTCTACATGCCTTCCTACTGTGAGACTGCTGTCTATAAATGGTGGAGCGATCCCGGAATTGATGGTTAGATGATCGGGCTTGGTTTTGTTTGACTTTGCCCAGTCCTCTAATTGTGTCGCTGCTTTGTCCAGTTGTGGCATTTTGACAGAATTCAAAGATAAAGTACAGATAAATCTAAGAAGCTGAAACAAAAGGTAACATTTGAGGTACTAAGGTTCCAAAAATATATCCAAAAAAGATTTAACTCCAAATTGTCTGTCACTTTTTAGAAGTAAAGCATCGCTTATTCCATTCTTGTATTATTACAGTTTACGTTCATCAGTCAAAACTTTAGTATAGTTTACAATTACACATGGTGATCCAAGAAACGGTGACAATATGTCTAGGGTAGAGACTACTGTCGAAACTGGCACGGAAAATTTTTATAAGTATAGATCTGACGAGATACAGGGTGCTAAAATTATGTTATGAATGCGCCCTGGGGCAGATGAAAATTTGATACATGTAGTAAGAGCAACAGAGTACAGAAAGATCACAAAAATATCATCTTCGCCACTGGCTTCTCCAACCCTCTGATAATTAGAGAAAAATTGGTTAGAATATTTGGGTAAAAATTACTGCATACAGTAGATTTATACTGTAAAGCTCTAAAGTACTCATAAGAAGCTTCAACATGAAATATCGCATGACCTCCTGATCCATTTAAAAAAAATGTCCAATGACCTCTAATATGCAATAATTCCACAGTCCCAAATTTCAGCTTGCTAATTTTATCAGTTAAGAAAACAAGTTCAACTTTCTGAAAAATTCTGTATACAGGGTGCTTCATATAAAACCCTCACCATTTGGACCTCTCGGAAACTGAAAGAGATATGGAGTCGCTTAATAAGGCAAAAGTTGCGTATTTAAATAATCAGCCAAATTCCGCTTCGAAAGCTTCTAAATTCGAAAGTACTTCCGGAAAGAAACGGAAGTAGAGGATTTTCTGAAATTGTTCCTTTTTTTCCTGCCAAAATTTAGTAATTCCAGAAAAACAGGAATTTTGAATATCTGCTATGATTTTCCTCTGCTTATTTATGATTTTTATTGTTATTACTATTAACAAAATTCTTATTTCGAGTTCAGGTTTCACCCACAATTTTTATTTCCTCATAATCTCCATCTAACAACAAATTCACGGCAAACTAAGGAAATATATCACTGAATTTAGGACTCAAATTCCAATATAGCGTCCATACGAAAAATTTGACTACGTTGTTTTGCAGATGAGTATAAGCAACAATGACAACAAGCAATTTATTTTGGAATCCCATCTCAAATAAATTCAGGAAAGAGTAAAAGTGATTTTGGGATAAATCGCGATACAAATGACTATCTGATAATTTTAAGACCTACCTAGAAAATTCTGCTCTTTGAGATAACAGAGGCTCAGCAATGTTAATGGACGTATTATAAATTTTCAGAATCAGAGCTAAAAAGTCTATTCATCTGTGCAATAATCCTGTATGGCGTCTATAAGAAAAAATGAAGTTGATGCTGGAGGACAAGAGACGAAACGATATTGGAATTCCAATTATACCATCTTGTAGAGGAGAAAAAGTATTAATATGCAATTTATTTTGAAACGAAGTCAGGAAAAACTTTTAGGAAAATTCTGTTTTTACTGTCTGTCTCCTGAAGTACTTTAAATTTCGAAACTTTTTGGGCGGCATTTGTTGACTTCCTAAATCTCTTTAATTTCCGACATTCTAATGGTGTGGATCGAATTCAAAAGACCCTGTACAAAGTGCGAGTGTATTTTTTTTAATTTGCCTTCTATAGTTTTCATTTTAATTTCCATATGATTAAAGGTATTTTCAAGAATATTTACCTGTCACACTAGTGCTGCAAAAACTAAATCACTGTTGTACGATAAGCATGTCACTATTCTAACCACGAGCATTGCAATAATTTATAGCTTTAATACCGGATATTGGTAGGCCGCATATCGAAACTTATTATTGATACTATTCATATTTTAGTTTCATCCATCTAAATCTATTGCGGTTTGCTATGCAAAACAGAACCTTTGGGAAAGTAGTGCAACTATTTCCTGGTGCAAGGTGATAAGAAAATCCGATGCGATATAGGAAACATGTAATCATTTTGCCAAGGATGTGAGCTCTGTAGTTATAGACCTGGTAGCGTTGGTTCTAAAATAGAACGAGATGCATGTAGGTTACAACATTTTTTCCATATACTCGTATTTTATCACGTTCCTGGAACATGACAATGATTTTTTAATAACTTCTGAACGGCGTTGCTTAATGTTTGTCCTCATGCAGTTACATGATGCTGTCCAAACGAAGAGTTGCCCGTTAGGAATGGACTAACCCTAACAATATTTATTAAACCTTGTATGATAATGGCCCAAAAATGCTCTTTTAGATAATCCTAAGTATTCAGCTGGAAAGAATGTACATAATCATATTTGATGTCACTCGTTAGAAAAACAATCTGATTAAGTGTAAAGTTTTTCACCAATCAAAGTGATTTCCATTTTTGGTACGTTCAACGTTATAATATAAAGAAACCAGACTGAAATTATTATACAGTGCTTTTCACAAAATGTCGACTCCTACTTATTTTTCAAACATGTCAGGCTAGAAATCTGAGATTCGGAATAATGAAATTGGTGCATGAATACAATGTTCTAGCATAAAAGTGGCAGTTGGAAATATCAAGATGGTGGCTGGGCGTCATTTTGTATGGAGGTTCTTGGAATACCTCATTTTAAAAATTCACTGTCTCCCAAAGGGGCAATCTGGCAGGCTGTCAAATTTGATCGCGTTTGGAAATTTAGTCTCTTACAACTCTACAACCAGTCATCAAAACGCTGTAGTATGTTATATCAATATTACTTCTTTGGAAGGGTCTATCTGAATAGGTTATAAGGTATGGAACAATCCATAACAATTTTTTTTTTCTAATAGAACCTCCCAAAGTAAAAAGATTGGTATAAAATACTATAACTTTTAGTTATTAGTTGTTGATTAAATGTACAAAAACGTTAAACTTTCACAGCTCATCAGCTGGCCACTTTGAAAGATAGTGATTTTATGTTTTAGGGTTATGATGTAATTATAATAGGCTTCAAAATAAACTCATCATGCAGGTATGACCCTCTAATCCAGTTAAAAAATGTTACTGTTACGTAATTTAATTTAATTTCATTATCTCGGATTTCAAATCACTAACTTGACCCAAAAAATAAGTAGGGGGGGGGGGGTTCTGAAAAGTACTGTACAGTCCAACTAGAATATTTTTTATTTTTTATATTCTCGAATTGCCGAAGCACTATGGTTGTACGGTCTATACTGTTTGCAAGTGAAAAGTGTAATTCCAAAAGCTCTGCCAGTATTTCTCCTGACCTACGACTTTATCTGTCTACTTAGCTACGAAACACAAACACCATCCTCTCTATGGAGATAATCCATTCATCATTCTCCATACGAAGTAAGCTAAAAATAAAAACAAATTGTAGCAGTCAGTGTACATTGAATCCAATCGATTATCTAGCCTCTAAAAAGCCACCGAATCCCTGTAGCTGCAGCTTCCATTCAGCTTCAGTTACAGAGCATTGGTTGTCGATAACGCAGCTGGAGGCGAATATGCCGTAAATTTAATTGCGGGTGGGAAAACGTGAGACACAAAAAGGATAGGACACATTCGTATGGTCTATGCAGCACGATTGTGCCTTATATTTAGAGAGCGCGATGTGACGCAAGAGTGTGATTTCATTATTTTGATTTTCTGCGATCATACATGTACACAACTATAACTATGCCTTTCCCATTAAATAAATCTACATCAAGCACATCATCATATTCATATAGTCGGTGAGCAGGCTTGTTTTCAGTTGACTTGAAATAAAATCATCACTTAGTTTGCATACCGCCTAGTTTTTTTTTAGCGTGGCTAACCAATATCATCTTAACGGACAAACGATCTCATTCGCTCAGATTCCTTTGGATCTCAGATTTCCTTGAATATAATCGACTGAAATATCAGGAGATCTAGCAATTAAGGCTAAAATGACAAAAACGTGACATCTTCGCATTCAGTAGTACATTTGGTCTACCACTGGGATCTAAAATCTCCTTGGATATTTCCAGATCAACCTTGAACTGCCTCAGGTCTCCTTAAAATACCTCGAAGCGCCTTGAATTGTATCGAGTATTTTGCCTCTTATCCCCTAGAATCGGCTTGGATCTCAGTGAATTGCCTCGGTGCTCCTTGCGTCACCTCTGATTCTCTTGAATTGCCTTTGGTCCTCTTGAACTGCAACACATCACCTTGAATACCCCAGTTCTCCCTGGATTGTCTTGAATTCCATTTAATTGCTTTTAATCTTCATGGATTGTATCGGTTCTCCTTGAATTGCCTGGAATTTTCTTGGATTGCATTTCCTTGAAATGTCTCGGATCTATTTGGATTGCCTGGAATCGCATTAAATTGCTCGGAATCTCCTTTGATTGCCTTGAATCTTCTTAAGTAGTCTCGCATCTTCATGAATTACCTCAAATCTCTTTGAATTGTATCGGTTCTTCTCAAATTGCGTCTAATATACCAGGATTACCTTGGATCTCCTTTCATTACCTCGGCTGTCCTTGATTTGTCTCTGATCTCCTTGAACTGTCTCGGCCCTCGTTTAATTGCCTAAGACCTCCGAGGATTGCCTTGGATATCAGTGAATTGCCTCGGTTCTCCTTAAGTCACCTTTGATCTCCTTGGACTGCAACGTATCTCCTAGAAGTGCCTCGAATCTCCTTGAATTATCTTACATATATTTCAGTTGCTTCTAGTTTTCATGGATTGTCTTGGTTCTCCTTGAATTGCCTCTAATCTTCTTCGATTACATCGTATCTCCTTGAATTTCTTTGGGTCACCTGGATTACCTTTAATTTCTACTTATCTTTGGAGTGGAAGGGCACCTCTAGGTGAACTCACCGTTGAGGTTTTCCCAATATCTTGAATTTCTTTCTCATGTGTGTGTGTGTGTGTGTGTGTGTGTGTGTGTGTGTGTGTAAAATGTACGTACATGGTGAGAAAATAAAGAACATTATTATTGTTATTATAATAATAATAATAATGTCTTTATTAATCCATCCACACTGCGAGGCAAAGTTTAGCCAGCTGGCTACTCTACCAGTTAACCTCACAGCGCAGGAACACATACACATAATATATACAATAATTAAGGCTTAAATAGATTAATCTTAATATGTTGTACATCTATTCTACATAGCCCGCTATAACAAAAAAAAACAATAAACACATAAAAAATATATCAGCCAGCTTGGATAGCAGACCCCAGAAGATGGTTCTTAATGGCTCTCTTGAATGCAAGTATTCCCTTCTTTTTGAAATTGTCATTAAGACTATTATACACCTTGACAGCGTTGTAGGTGAAGCTCCAATGGAAAATGTTGCTCCTATAACTAGGTATATTGAAGTCAGAGTTATGTCTGAGATGTCTGTAATTGAGATTCCCACGTGGTACCAGCCTATTTAGTAGATAAGTAGGTAGCCTATTGATTTTTACTCGTTTTACTAAAATTAGTAAATTATATGTGAAAAGCTGGTCAACCCTCAACCATCTAAGCTCATTGATCTACTTAGACACATGGCTAAACTTTCGCAGACCACAAACGAACTTACAGCAGCTATTTTGAATTTTTTGTACTCGATATCTAGTCACGTAATCAAGACAAGGAACGTAAACAGCAGCTGAATAATTTATTAACGATAGAACCAGAGTCTCAGCCAGTTTTTTGCGAGTCTTGAAATTCAGAATATGGCGATTGGTGTATAATATCTTCAAACGCATGTATGTTAAGCGAGATAAATGTGTAACATGTTGCTTAAACCTCAAATCTGAATCCATGGTGATCCCTAAATACTTCGCATGGTCTACTATAGGAATATGGGTTTCGTTAAGACTAGGAACAATTGTGCCATCTAACCGTGTACTAACTGTTTTGGGCCAAATAGCATGGTGGAACATTTTGAAGCATTGATCTTCAGACAATGTCTTTTGAAGTACTCTTCAATGTTAACTAGATCTAAGTTCATTTTATATTATGCTTCATGCTTGTCCAAAGAATCAAAAGACAGAGTTAGCTGCGTGTCCTCTGCATACGTTTGAATATTACAGTGCTGAAGGCGAGTATGTAGATCAAAAGTATAAACTAAATAGAGTAATGGTCCCAACTCAGAGCCTTGAGGTACGCCAGATGCAACATTCTTTGCCGAAGAAAATCCCTTACGTGTTTTCACCTTCTGGGTACGATTGCACAAATAAGAATCGAAGAAACATAGTGGCTTGTCAGAAAGACCATAAAATTTGAGCTTACTCAAGAGAATACCATGATGTACCATATCAAAGGCCTTAGAGAAGTCTAGCAGAATCAGAGCTGTTCCTATCTGATTATCTACATTTTTGATGATATCATCCGTAATGTTGTTGTGCTATGCCCTGTACGGAAACCAGACTGATATTGAGGAATCATATTGTTTTGTTCAAAATAGTGGGCCAGCTGTATGTAGACAATTTTCTCTAAAACCTTCGACAAAAAGCACAACACGCTGATGAGCCGTAGGTGAGAATACTCAGAGACGCTGTTTGTCTTCGCCAAAGGCAAAACGATAGCTTCCTTCCAGCAGCTTGGGAAAATCCCTGTCTCTAAGGAAACATTTATAATATGAGTAATGTGATTCAAAATTTCTGGTAAGCAGAGATGTTTCATTTTACGACTAAGTCCATCACAACCCGATGTTTCTGACTTGATTAGAAGTTAAAACATCCAGCACTTCATGCTGGGCAACGTAGCGAAAAGTAAATGAAGGAAAATTAGTGCAGAAGGAGCTATTATCATATTTATGAATTGTAGACTCAATTAGCATCGAGTTCAAATTAGCAGCCTGTGAGTTCAATAAAAAGTAATCATTCAGAGAGTCTGGTTCGAGTAGATCATCTGGAATTTCAGTTTTTTTCCGTCGACAGATACTCATATCTTCAAGGGTTTTCCAAGCTTGCTGCGTATTCAAGTTATCAATGTGTGATAGGTAAGCCTTTTTCCCTCCTTATTGACGCTAAAGCATAATTTCTTAGTTC